AGGGGGAGCCGACTTTTTCCCTAAGCGGGGGACACGAATTCTCTGAATTAGCTTGTTGGGAACAATTCATTAGACAATACCCAGTCCCTTCAGGATACTACGTCTGGAAAGGTTTCAAGTGTTCTTAGGGATATTTTAAATCAGGAAAGTTTGGTGCGTCTCTCTATGATACAGAAAATTCAAATATTAATGATGGATGTCATAGGCAACAGAAATATAACTGAAATTTTGATGAAAAAGCTGGATGTCATGACAGAAAAAATTCATGTCTTAGACAAAAAACAGAGGAAAACTGAAGAGGAGAATACAAGATTTAAGGAGGAATTAAAATTTTTACGTTCCACAATAGGTGTCACTAGAAATTCTACAGATGACAATGTGTTACACTTAAATGAGACAGAAATGCCAATAATGAAGAAGCAAACTTCGTCTCCACAGAGACAAAAACACCAATTAACTCGGGAAAATATAGAAATAAGAGCACACATGGAGGGTTTTATTGAAAAATACATAGCGGAACGAATCGGGGAACTTGAATTAGAAAGTTTGAAAAATGAAAGTTTGTTTTTTAGACAGATATATGAAGGTCTGTCACTGGAATTCGAAAAAATGCAAAAAAGGTTATTTCAAATGAACAAAACAATAAACGAAGATGGAAATGCGAATGACTTAAATGCTCGGTTATTGACAGCCCAGGAAAACTTGATGACTTTTTCTTCTTTCATCAACCGAACAATGGAACATATTTTTCAGGAGCAAAACAACGCTACTCAGAACTTAAAGAATATTTCTGCGCAATTGTCAAGTAACTACCCTTTCTTTATTACACAGGGTCAATATTTGCTATGAAGAGATTATGAACTAAAGTAATACATATACTTAGTTTTAGGGATGCCAAACCGGTCAATATTTGATAATGGGTTACTTGGACATTTTTGTGATCGGGTACACGGGTACTCGGGTACTCGAGTACTCGGTAAAATGGTAAATACATGTACAAGTCTGTTAATTTTGTTTAACTCATTTCAGATGTGCTATACACCAATGTTGTTTTTTTATTAGGTTCTTAGTAAATGTTTAAAAACATCAAGTCAACGAAAATGATTAATTGTACTTTTAAATTATTTATTTATAAAAAAAAAAATACACACACAAAAGACATTAATTTGATGCACCAATAATTTTAAATTATTTGCATTTCTTATTTGGGAAGAAGCTTTAATCAATATCAATCTTCTACGCATCTTTGTCATGATCACACTAGCGAAGCAGAAGGAATGGACGTCGTTGGGATCGCTTGTCGAATATTATTGCATCCCCTGTATACACTCAATTTACTCCGCTTAGCTGACTTTAAACAATTTTTATTAATCTTCAATTAATATATATATATATATATATATATATATATATATATATATATATATATATATATATATATATATATATATATATATATATATATATATATATATATATATATATATATATATATATATATATATATATATATATATATATATATATATATATATATATATATATATATATATATATATATACAGCCACAAGCGATAACAGGTGTTTTACATGTACATGTGTAGACGACGACCCGCTAATTATTGCATGCACGTTTCAGTTATTTTTTAAGAAGTGATAAATTTATGTTCTTTGGAATAAGAAAAAAATATACATCCGAGTAACCGAGTACCAGTTTTTAAGTATTCGTTACTCAGACGATTTATCGAGTACCCGGTTGTGGTTATTGTTCATATATCAGAATTGAAAATAAAAATAATGGCCTGGATGAGCATTTCGACCTTTAAGGTTTGCATTTCCATTATAAATTAGCATGTGATGTTTCTAAATTATCTACTTAAAAAGGTCATATAATTGTATGATAAAATATATAATGCATATAATACATTTGTGTGGCGTCGGTAGTCCAGTGGTTAAGGTGCCTGACTCCAAACCGAAAGGTTGTGAGTTCGAATTCTGGCCACGACAAGCCGACGTTGTGTCCTTTGGAAAGGCACTTTACACGAATTTCCTCATTATACCCCAGTGTAAAAAGGGGTACCTGGCTATAGACAGTGAGACACATTTTCAGAATGTTAGTGTTCTAGCGCTGATAACGGCAGCTTGCACTGAGAAAGATTCTGGATTGTTAAGGTCTGCTGGGGTAATAATGTATTGTAAAGCGCTTTGAGTAGCATTTATATATGCTAGAAAAGCGCTATATAAAACTAATCATTATTATGTCGCCCCGAACGAAGTCGGGCGACATATTGCAATTGTACGCATGTTTTTGTTATACGGGCTGTTTCTCGGAGATGACTGGGACAATCTTCTTGAAATTTTACTGAAAGAGGATCACTGGTTGTAGTTGTGTTGTGTGGTCATTCAGTTTCAGAATGGCTACCGTTGCCATGGAAACCTGCAAAAAGCGACGAATTGTGTCCACGAGTGTTCTCTCTGGTCCCTTGGACATTCGTCATGAAACTTTACTGATTTATTGATTAGTATCTGTCATTGTGCGTGTTGCATTTAAAAATTGGAAATTGTCAATAGTTTCCATGAAAAATTGGAAAAGTGAAAATTCTTTTACTTAGATTTTAAATCAAAGTACTGAAAGTACTGATAGGACTGATACGAGTTAATGGTTTTCCAACCTTAGCTAATAGGTATTGTTTTAGTAATGAAAAAAACGAAAAAAATTTCCAGTTCGGGGCGACTTAAGCTATTGCTTGCAATAGCAGACTTTCTAGTTATTATTATAATTGTATGTAGTTCTTATTATCATATTTCTTTTTACAAAAAATGACAAGTAATTTACTTTGGTAGCTATAACATGACTTGTTTGCTGTAAAATACGATTTTTGTTTTTAATTAAATCATTTGTTCCCTGCATCTTTTTCAGAAGGATTGTCGTCTCCACCACTGACGAACTCCATTGCATTCTACGCCTACATGTCTTCGCAAACTCCGGTAATAACTGGTCGATATCATTTAAAATTTGATGTGGTGAAAACAAACGTTGGAAAAGGCTACAGTTCCGCTACGGGAGTATTTGTTGTTCCAGAAACTGGGATTTATGTATTCACTTAGACAATACGAGAGTTGCAAGGTCATCAACATTCTACACAGTTGATGGTTAATACTGATGTACTGGGGGTAATTCACGTTTACGCCGGCCCTTCTGGAAATCTAGGAGGAACAGGAATTGTTGTAGCACACGTGAGTGCAGGAGATGATATATTTGTGTGCACTCTTGCAAAATGGAATACAGGTTTCATTTATAGTGACGGTGCAGGAAGATCGTCCTTTGCAGGATGGAAACTATTCTAAATAGAAATAATAACTGATATCGAAGAAACACCTAAGATACTCCCTATGTATCATACCAACGAGAGTCTAAAGTAGCAATCTTTCTCAAGTGTAGAAATAAAAACACAACTAGAGACATTTATACGGGGGATGTCCAAATGTTCGTGGACAAATGCCTCATTTTCTTAATAAAGCCCGCAATGGCAAGAATTTACGATAATATATTAATATAGACCATAATTAGGTAAATATGCAAAAAAAAAAATAAACAATACACATATATAATGAATATTATAGGTTTAAAAACTTTGTGGATGTGTCGCAGAGCAATCACCCAAATCAGTTAACTGTAAATGAGAGAGTTCTAAAAGTTCTGATAGGAACACTCTCGCACAATCTATCTACCACTGTTCCGTTAGCCATCTGGACATCCACCAGAAAGTTAATGCACTAATCCCTCTTTGCATGTCTGAAAGCTTCCTCAAATGTTTTATGAAGGGGAAGTAAAACACACCTCTTGATTTCAGGCTTTAATCTTCGAAAGAAACGCTCCTTAGTGAGAGTTTCTTTTTGCCGTCCAGGCATGTCCATGTACGCACGTGTAGCGATCTTCGTTATGTTTCCATCATAACCCTCTACAGATTGCGTCTCCTGCTTTTCCGAGTCATTTCTTCACAAATTGAACAAGGGTTAATTTCTCAAAGTATCAGTTGACATAGTTAAGTTAATCCCACTGCTGCCACCATAAGATGTGACGGGGGACCTCCCTGTCACTGATTAACAGTTACAGATCAGGTTTGAATATCGTCCCGCTTCAATAATTTTTTACGGAATTACGACCTTTTCAATTTTTCAAGGTTTTCATTTTTTCTGAACGCCCGAAGATATGTAGCTGATTTTTAGAATGAGACTTAACCTTGATAAGTTATAAATCAATTTTACATTTCGTTCTGCTTCATTCATGTTTCAAGGAATTATGGCATATTTATTTTTTTTTATTATTGGATTCACGATTGGGCTCGTGATGCACTAAATTAATGTTGTGATGCACTATATTGCTTTAGAGTGACGCATATAGATCGAGTTGGATTTTTGGTCTTGTCTTCATTGTATTGCCTTTGAAACCTTAATCCATTTATTTAATTCAATAAAAACAAGCGCATGTTTCTTACATCTCTTTTTAAAAAAAATATTGACAACCATGAATGAATTCAATATTTTCTTGTGTTCGATAAGAATTCGAAATTTTAATAATCGTTCACTTTTCCCCTTGTGGAACTTTGCTTTTTTCCCTTTTTTTTCGCAATTTTACCTAGTTGTACTCATCGTCCACCCTCCTCCATCTGTACTCATGTCAGAGTAAACAGACCTTACTACTGCGGCTCACACTAACCGTCCATCCTCCTCCATCTGTACTTATGTCACAGTAAACAGATCTTACTACTGAGGCTCACACTCTATGTCCATTCTCCTCCATCTGTACCCATGTCACAGTAAACAGACCTTACTACTGCAGCTTACACTAACCGTACATCCTCCTCCATCAGTATTTATGTCACAGTAAACAGACCTTTCTACTAAGGCCCACACTCTTCGTTCATTCTCCTCCATCTGTACTTATGTCATAGTAAACAGGCCTTACTACTGAGGCTCACACTCACCGTCCACCCTTCTCCATTAGTACTTATGTCACAGTAAACAGACCTTTCTACTGAGGCCCACACTCTACGTCCATTCTCCTCCATCTGTACTTATGGCATAGTAAACAGACCTTACTACTACGGCTCACACTAACCGTCCATCCTCCTCCATCAGTACTTATGTCATAGTAAACAGGCCTTACTACTGAGGCTCACATTCACCGTCCAACCTCCTCCATGTACTCATGTCACAGTAACCAGACTTTACTACTGAGACTCACACTTTACGTCCATTCTCTTCAATCTGTACTAATCTCGTAGTAAACAGACAATGCTACTGAGGCTCACACTCACCGTTCACCCTCCTCCATCTGTACTCATGTCACAGTAAACAGACCTTACTACGGAGACTCACAATCACCGTCCACCCTCCTCCATCTGTACTCATGTCACAGTAAACAGACCTTCTACTGAGACTCACACCCACACTCAACGTTCACCCTCATCTATCTGTACTTATGTCACAGTAAGCAGACCTTTTTACTGAAGCCCACACTCTACGTCCATTCTCCTCCATCTGTACTTATGTCATAGTAAACAGACCTTACTACTGCGGCTCACACTAACCATCCACATCCTCCACCATCAGTACTTATGTCACAGTAAACAGACCTTACTACTGAAGCTCACACTCACCGTCCATTCTGCTCCATCTGTACTCATGTCACAGTAAACAGACCTTACTACTGAGGCTCATACTCACCGTCCAACCTCCTCCACCCGTAGTCATTTCACATTAAACAGACCTTACTACTGAGGCTCACACTCACCGTCCACC